CATGGTTCTTGCTTGCGGGTATTACCACAGAAAGAAGTATCTCTTTGCAAGGAGTGTCTCTTATCCGTAACGTTGAGAGACGATCGAGAAAGTCGGTACAAAGCCGGTGAAAAGTGATTGCCGCGAGTCTCTAAAGAAAATCAATTACCTAATAGTATCACCGTTATTGCAACGACATTGATCCACCTAAGGAAAGTTTCTAAAAGTAAAAGACACAATGTTCTACGATCTTTACTCGTATCTACTCGATTTCTTCGTTCGTCGGTTCACAATGCGACTACTTTAACGTACAAGTAGAAAGAGTAACAGAATCGACAATCAAGAGACTTACATATCGCACACAGTTTCCTTCTCTTTCAGTACGGTATCCTCGAACGGGGTCTTTCTCTTCCATTTGCAAATTAAACGGTCGCGTCCTTGATTTCAATCCCAGTAAACTCAATCTATCGACTTCCATCGCAATGTCTTTAAACTCGCTAACTAGGCGTTTAATCTTAATCGATCTACCGACCTATCGACTAGCCGATATATATATATATATATATATATATATATATATGTCGTCATTTTATTCCATTTCTTCCTTCTTTTCTCTCTCTCTTTGTCTATTTTTCCTCTTTCGAGATCGCCTGACTGCTTTCTTATTATCCTATCCAACCAATCTCAGCTAGTCTTCTCTTTCCACTAAGCTATTTCCTTTCTCTTTACTTCTTCTCTCTAACCACTTTTTTTCCTCTTCTTTTTCTATTTCTTCTGCTACTACTACTACTACTTTTTCTTCTTCCTTTCCTTCTTCCTTTCCTTTTTCGAGCTTCGAACGATTTCTCGAGCACAACGCCAGCAAGCACATCCTTCCTTCTTTTAAACTCGAAGAGAGTGGCTTCGCGCACTTCTTCTTCTGTCTAGTGCCTTATCTTAATAGGTCGCCTCGGCAATCGAAAGTTTAGTTATTATCGCGCCCGTTGTCGCTTCCATTCCGAGAGCTCCACGGAAAATCCTATGGAAATATGGCGGTAGATAGGGCCTGTGGAAATTACTGGCACAGCGAGCACGACATATGACCTAGACTTTGCCCGACAAAGTGTCCTGAACTTCCGGCACGATCATCATGTGGAAGTCCACGAAAAAGGTTTACCTCAATTTTCATCCCTCTTTCTCATTTATTATTTTGTTTGTTTGCTAGTCACATGATTCGAAATTATGCAGAATTAAAAAAAGTTAGAAACATTTTTTTTCTTTTTTTTTTCGTTTCGCTTATTCTTTTTTCTTTTTCTTTTTTCTTTCTTTCTTTTCTTTTTTTTTTTATCTTGTTGTTAATGTGAACACTGCCATTCGTAAGTTAAAATTTAATGCTGCAGGTTGAAAGGTAAAAATAAACAAATGTGTTCCGTTATAAATTTATTTTCTACATTAAAATATGCGTAGAACGTATACATGTTATAAATTTGTATAAATGATATTATGCATAATATTAAAATTTTTACTCCACAATTTCAAAATCATTATTGAAAGTCCAATAATAACAGTTTTATTATAATTATATTTTAATTTATTTTACATAATCAGAAAAAGGAATTTCTAACGAATAATAAACAGAGCGATGATTAGCTGTTTGATGAAAAACAACGACAGTCTCGGTAAAACTTTAATCTTGGAAAAAGATTGCTCTCTTCGTTAATGTAAAAAATTTCATTCGGTTCTTCTTGGAAATTTGTTACTCACAATTTTCATTTTGTTCCATTAACGCTCTCGTCCGATTAATTGGGAAAGGATGAAGTATCCAGTCGGCTTATATAAATCCTTCGTTGTTCGTTATTATGATGATTACATAAAATATGTTATTCTGAAAATGTTACGTAAAAAGGAAATTTCATATCGTAGAGGAAGACTTTTCGATCTCGCGATTAGTTTCGAGGTTGAAACGAGTTATGGTCTTGCGCGAACCTTGGCAGGAACGAGATAATCGAATAATACCGTTAAACGGAATTTTTATCGAGGCCGCTTTCCTTAATCAATGAAAAAACCATTAGAAGTCTTGGTAATATCGTTATAACGTTATATCGTTGGTTGCACCGCACATTCGGGTTACGAGTAAAGGGATCGAGAATTTCTTCCTCTATTTTATACGCTCTTAAGAAAGATGAAGCTTTAATTAAGAAAGATTCACCGCGTGTAAACTAATGAATAAAAATGAAAACTAGTTGTGGCGTTAGAAAGCCGATAAGCGAAATATATCTTTCGAATTTTATCATTTTCGTTCGTTGATAATATCGTATTTTACACGTCGACCATAATTACATCCATTGATACATGTATTCATCTTTTTCGTCGTCTACAACATTTTCTCTTGTCTTTATATACGATCGAGATGAAATTAAAAAAAAAAGAAGAAGAAAAAAGAAAAGAAAAAGAAAAAGAAAGAATAGAAAAATAAAGCATGGGAAAAAGAAATGAAACTCTTTAATTCATTTCCATGTGAATCGGATTGATATAATTTAAACAGTGTAATTAAACGTTCGAAGTTAAATCGATGCTGGTAATGACATGGTTTACCCGCAAAGCGGAGAATCGCAAAGTCAAAGTTAGCTTCAATGTGGTTACATAACTATGTGTCCGTCGTTGGTCTGAAGTCTACAACGTTGGTTGGCCTAAGTATAAATCACGCGAAGATAAGGTCATAGTTTCCCCCGTCAGTGGCGTCTACAAACAGTCGGTAATGAAACCCGTTTGCTGCTATAGATGGGAAGAAATGGAGGGAAAGATATCTGACAGTGCCAAGTCAACTAATTAGGGCCGACTCATTAACGAAGAAAACCGGGTCAATTGTTTGTTGACCGAGTGTTGATTCTTTAATTTTCAAAATACGTTTACTTCATTCGTTTATGTACACATAATTATATACAGAATATACCGAATAAACGTCGTCATAATTCTTCAGACATTTCAGACGTAAAATTAGTTGAAAAGTTAAACAAATAAGAAAAAGAATAATCAATCCTCCATATCGTAACAAGTAGCAAAAATAAAAATTGTGCGAATATTAGTTTGTCAATTAAAAATCGAAGTCACCTTCATTCTTTTCTTTTTTCATTTCTTTTTTAATGGCATCATATAACTTTTTCTATCCGGCAATATAGACATAGGTATATAAAAGAATAAATAAGGTACAGTTATAAAACAACTAAATACCTAATTAATTGGATAATCGTCGTATTGTAATCATAATATTAAAACTCTATCGCAGAGCACGATTAAGGGTATTACAAAGAGATAGGGAGGGAGAGAGAGAGAGAGAGAGAGAGAGAGAGAGAGATTAGGAATATTGGACTTTAATGGCATAGTAAAATTATAAGGAGCCAAATGAAAATTCAAGTTTACCTCTTCGACGTTGGTAGCATAAATTTTACACTGATTGTGCCTTACGTTATAGCGGTACGGTAAACTTTGCGTTTTAGTTTACGACCGTTGAATGTGCTAATCGAAAGTCCCGCTTATGAATGTCAGACTTTACTGTTACAATTAGTTTATTTAATTAAGAAGAGCATAGAAAGAGAGAACAAGAGAGAGAAGGATAGGGTGAGAGAGAAAGAGAGAAAGAGGAAAAGTGTCAGTACCTCGTTAAATCGAACTTTGCCGACATGAAATTTAGTCATAACTCATGAGAAAAAGATGTTACGAGTGACATGTTTACAAATGTTTTTCGTTATAACTTTGTGTAAAAGGAGAGAAAAAGAAAGAAAAAGAGACTGAGGCGTGGAGAGAGAGAGAGAGAGAGAGAGAGAGAGAGAGAGAGAGGGAAGAGAGAGAGTGAAATGTGAATTGATAGATCAATAGAGATAGACAAAAAACCGTGAAAATGTTTTTGCACGTAGTCGAGGTGTTTTATCGCATGGCCAAAATATTTTTGAATGTGAAAAGAAAGGTTGAATATACAAGGTGAATAAAGCGTAGCTGAAAGTGAGCGATGGTATGGTTAACTATGGACAGAAAAAAAGGAGGAGGAAGAAAGGGAGACGAAGAATAGGACAGTTTGTTCATAATTTAACAACGATACGACGGGCGATCGGTCACGAGCAAAGCGTAGCTTCATCGTCGATGAACGAGCACCGTCATCGCTTCGATCTTTCAAAAGAGACTACAAATTCTTCTTTTTCATAAGTAACTACTTATATATTTATTATATTCAAAATTGTTTGTTTTCTTTTTTTTAAGTGAGAGAGAGAGAGAGAGAGAGACACGTTTAGATACATCATACGTCATTTCGGTTTATCTTACGGATAAATGATTTTCTTTCGGACGTTTTGAAATTGTCCAGTTCTCTATCTCGATATTTTATTACCATCTTTCTTCTCATTTTCTGTATGAGTATTTCAGTAGGATATAATCTTGAAGAACAAAGGAGACAATGATGAAGTCTCCAAAGGAAAAAGGTTAAAGGAGTTAGATTAATGTCCTTCTATTACGCACGACAGATTTTATTGCTAATTTGGATCATTAAGAAAACAAGGAGAACTCGAATGGCGATGACGCGCAGACCAGGCGCGTTTTATCCTTCGGAGAATCGACCTCGTCGGACTTTTATTGAAGGATATAATTTTACCTCAAAGACAGGAAACGACAGTTATTGTAGTATGGCGACCGATGAAACGGGATCATCCTGGATTTTCTCAAACGATCCTGTTTCACGGCAAGAGGATCATTCCGGCATAGAATTGTCAAACGGATATTTTTCAAATCGAACAACAATTTTTCCCTTGTTTTTTTTTTCTTTTTCTTTTTCTTTTTTTTCCTTGGCGATGTTCTCGGAAATGTTTTTTTTATAAACATCGATTCTCATTTTTATATAACGTATTCATGATGGAACGATTACTTCGTACTGCTTTAAAATGATCGTATCTTCATATTGATTCGAGATCAATGAATTTTAATGAATAAATTTTGATTTATCCTCATGTAATATGAGCGTCAACAAAATGTTTCATCTTTTCATAAAGATCGATTCGAATCGTTCGACTTAACCTCGAAGTTAAGCAAGCGATAATGGATGACATAATATACGTCAAAGCGTCTATCGGATGGAACGAAAGAGGATGAAACGACCAGGAGGGTTCAGAAAAGAAACTGAATTTGGCCGGCGATATGGGAAAGCGGATCTTGATCGAGTTGGTAATGAATATTTTCAAAATTCGAATTCGATCGAAAAACGATCGAAATACTTTTTCCAATTTTAATTTTTTTCCTTTTCCTTTTTTTATACCTTGAGGTTTCTTCGATGATATACCAAATGCTTCGGAAGATCCGTACGGTCCACCGGCCGTGATACGCGAGGATGTTGAAAAGGGTCGTCAGTTGCTTTCCGGTCCACCCTATGAACTTTTCGAGAAAGAATTCCAACGAATTTTCGTGGGCGAAGCACTCACTAAACCAATATCGCAGGTAATTAAAAGAGTTACTGGATTATTTGAATTCCATCGAGATCTTTTGGATTTCTATTATATTAATATCCTTGTTTTACTAAAATTTGTAAATAATTAACATATTCGAGTTTTATATAAATTATTTATGTAATCACGTAATATTAATGAACGCATTGAAATTCGAAGTAAATCAATTTATTTTCTTTTTTTTTCTTTTTTCAAAATATTATCTTTTTATGATTTATCAAAGTATGATAAATCATATATAACGTTAAATGTTCTAGATCGTAAAACTAATGATTGTCCAAATGTTTTCAATTTATCGAGCTTGATTAATCAAAATATAATACATTCGTTTTTTATCAATATTTTACGTTAAATGAGTCTGATATTTATTTCGAATTACATATAATTATTAGATATTATCGTGACAGATTAAACATAAAAAAATCAAGATTGTAGAAGGTCCACCCTTGATACCACCATCACCTTCGAAAAAGCACTCGACGCCTGGTGACTCGTTCGGGTGTTTCAGCAAACAACCGACTTACTTCAGTCCTGTATTAAGAGCCAAGCCAAAAAGAGAAAGGGAAGAGCCGAATTTCAAGATAAAGCCTGGGAAACTCGGTGGACCGGGATATGCGGATATTTGTTTCAGCCCTTATCCCACTTATGCGCACGAGCCCTACGATCCCTGGAAAAGAAAGGATAAGAGAAAGGAAGGTATGATAGAGAGAGAAAGAGAGAGAGAAAGAGGGAGAAAAAGAGCTCTAAATTAACAGCTTTTTTCGTGTCGACGTAGACCGTTCTACGTGCTCAACGTGTTTGGCCCTTTCGGTAGCTGTAATTAGGTCACGCTGCGTCGCGTCGCTTACCAGATTACATTCATTAAACGTGAAAGAGCTTGAGTGCGGTCGAAATGAATAGTACAAACTAAAATTCTCGCTATCGAGGCTGCGAAAATAAAATGAGGTACCCGATGTAAGAGATTAAAAAACCAAAAAAAAAAATAAAAGAAGAAGAAAAAATGGAAAAAGAAAGGGGAAGTAAAAGCGAATAAAGAATAACAGAAAGAAGAAGAAGAAGAAGAAGAAGAAGAAAAAAGAAGAAGAATAAATAAGAGGAAGAAAAGAACGATATTTACTTACGACCGTACTAATATGATATTAGAAAGAAAGAGAAAGAGAAAGAGAAAGAAAAAGAGAAAGACGAGAAATAGCAGTGGATTAACGAAAAGTCGTTAAAAAGATGACGATTACATGTGCTCTTTGCTGAGAGATTAAAATAAATGTCGGAGGATGCTGCTCAGTATCCACGATGTGGATCTTTCGCACCTAAATTCTCGTCCTTTTCTTTTTCATCTAGGGTACATCCATTTCTTTCTCTTTTTAATTTCCTTTTTCTTTTTTTAAATCATACATACATATGTACGTACGTGTCTACGTACCTACGTACATACGTACATACATTTCTTTTTCTTTCTGTTTTTTTTCTCTTTCTCTCTCTCTCTCTCTCTCTCTCTCTCTCTCTTTTTCTCCTTCCCACGAACGTACATAAATAAATAAGTCGCGAGAACGAACGAGCGTACTTTTTTAAAAGAGATCTTCGCTTCCGGTGCTTTATCTTCCACGTTGACAAAGTGCTCGTCGCAGAACGAGCACGCGTACCACAACGTGTAGTTAAGATCGTTTTTGGCTACTTTTTGGTACCAAGCCACGCTTTTCATTTTGATCCATACGATATACTTTTCTTCTTTCGTTTTATTCACCCTTTTTAATTTCTTTTTTCTTATTTCTTGTCTCTCTCTCTCTCTCTCTCTTTTTCTTTTTTTTTTTTTTTCTATTTTTACTTTTTTACTGTTCTTTTTTTTTAAGTCCCATGTGTCAAGCTCGCTTTTCCTTTCTCTATTTTATATTTTTGTTTTTATCCTTGCATATGCGTACACGTGTTTCAAGATGAAAGTGAAAAAAACGAAATTCGCTTTGAACATTTGTCCTTCCACACGTTACCCCTTATTTTTTCTTCATATATATATATATATATATATATATATATATATATATATATATATATATGTGCATGCAATTTCTTTTTTACTTTCTCTCGCTTTATCAACAAACATTTCGAGGCATCGCAAACAGATATTTTTCTACCGAGGTGTCACATTATAAGCACGTTTATTTTAACGTAGTTCACTCAAGTAAGCGAGCGAGTTATATTATCTTGGAAGTTAACGTAACGATTTTTTAAGTGTTTCGCTAAACGAGATAAGGATTATGGCAGTAAGCCGCGAACGATGTTATTTCGGCGAGAAGCGAGGGATGCAAAGTTTTAAGGAAAGTAAGAGAGAGGGAGAGGGAGAGAGAGAGAGAGAGAGTGAGAGAGAGAAATTTCGTAGTTAATGCGAAATAATGGTCTCAACACTGGCCGGTGTTAGATGTAATTCTCATTGTCAATGGTGAGACCCTTAATACCACGTTTTATGACCGCTTAAAGTTTCCAGCTCATGAAGTAAGAAATATATATTTGAATTCTTCGGAAAGTCATTCGCATTAATTACAAACAGCCTTATGTTTGCACGATACTATTAAGTAAGAACGAAGAGCAACTTTTCTTTTTAACATTCGCGATTTGCTTGTAAGAAAAAAAAAAAAAAAATACAAAAAATACAAAAAATCTCTCGAAAATTTCTAAATGAGTCAATGATATTATATTAACTCGACAACGGTCTCTTTGTCGTTAATAATATCATTCCCATTATTTTTCTTTTACTAACCTTTGATAATACTACATATTGTGATCATATAAAGCTCTTGATTTAATATCACATTAACAAGAGAGAGAAAGAGAGAGAGAGAGAGAGAGAGAGAGAGAGGGAGAGAGAGTGAAAGAGGTATAATAAAAGATACGATGACCACTCTGAGAAGACAAAGTATATAATTTACATCGAGCTACATTCTACGAGAAAATTCATAGGTCGTTGCTAGCAACGAACGGAGTAGTTAGCAAGCTAAAAGCTAATTAAGCTTTCCGTTTTCGTTGTTTGTTGTTTTCATTGATGTCGAAAGAGAGATAGAGAAAGAGAGAGAGAGAGAGAGAAAGAGAGTGAGAACGCTTGCATGAGTACAAATTTTAAGTGAAAATTACACATAGGATCCATTAAACGTTAACGTTTCATATTCCACAGAGAGAACAGGACCAAGTTTCTTGTCTATGAGTGCTCCTCTCGATTATTTCCCACCGAATCCTTATTTCGATGAAAGACCTGGTCCAACGTACGTGCGTCCAAAGGAAATTCAAGAAAAGATCATTGGTCCTGGCCATATCTATGTCCCATTTCCAAAGTCACCCGGTGGAAATCACGATGGTTGCTTCAGCAAGTTTCCATCTTACTTGAGTGAACCGTATGATCTTAGTATCCCAAGAGTTGTCACGACCGGACCACCATTGCTCGCTGGTGGACCTGATCTACGAACAAAATATACTAACAGTATTATCAATCAGGTCACAGCTGTATCCTGTAACGCGACCAACTATCGAGAGTATCACGAACGTGTCTATCCTTTGACTCAATAAATTTTTTTTTATTTGCCTTTTGTTTGGATACACGTACGTTATTTTACTTTACTTTCTTTATTTCTCATTTTTCTTTCTTTTTCTTCCTTTTTTCCTGTCTTTTTGTTGTTTTTGACTACTTCTCTTTTTCTTTTTTTTTTTTTTTCGTATTTTGGTATTAAACTCGAAACGATTTGGTAGATGCATCGATTCACTTTTAAGCCGATCGAACGACTCGTTCTCTCTCTCTCTCTCTCTCTCTCTCTCTCTTTCTCTCTCTCTATCTCTTTCTCTCTATACTCGCACGATATACCCAAGAGTATTTTGTACAGAGGCCAATTAAACGTTCGTGTTCTCTCGATTTCCACCTGCTATCGCGAACTTTCCTAATGGATGACTCTAGCCCATTCGTACGTAAAAACTTTTATACAAAACAAATTGTATTCTCTCGTCGGCTCGACTTTAAATCCTTGTAATCCTCACCGCTAGGATATCCTTGTCGTCTAACTTTTACTTTTTGAAACGCATTCATTTTGATTTACAATGTATTGTTCCCCTTTTTATTTTTATATTCGAACAAATATATACGAAAAAGTAAATATATCGTGAGATCGTAAATGTCGTCCTTCCTTCTGTTTTCCTACATCTATTTTTACGAGGAAAGGTAATACAAGTCGATGCGAACGTAAAAAGGATACCCTAATTCTGTTCTCTCCTCTGTTCTCATGTTAGCTTCCTTTCAACTCCTTTTAGATCTGAATCCTTTTTAGTGACTTTATTTAGATACGAATAGAGTAGATCCCGTGGATACGTAATTTTCAAGAGTAACAACATCAATTTGAAACTACGTTGACGGCATTGCAAATGATCCGATCAACAATTTTATGGTTGAAGAAAGGATAAAGTCAATATATGAAAGTGTTCTGATTTTCCATGAGCCAGCTGAATGTGACGTAAGTTAAAGAACATATAGATGATCAGTGAATCGAAATTCTCTTCTGTATTCTGGTAAAAGGAACGAACAGTATGGTGAGGTAGGGAAGACAGGGGAAATAAATGGCGGGGGTTACGTTTTCTCAGTCACGTACTGACCAGCACCCTTGGCAAACACAATGGCGGGAGAGTGCTGGGAACCCTCTTAGATTGACCAGCCCTTTTAAACTGAATCGGCTCCAAACTTACGCTAGTAATGAAATTCTAACGAACGTTCACCGTCACTCCGAATAGACGACTACTTCTGTAGGTCGCAATTAAACGTTCTCAGCAAACAATGAGTATTCGACGACAGGTTTCCTACCATATGGAACAGCTGAAGCTACGAAGCCATAGTATTTCATCAAGAGATACATATGTATGTTGATACGTATATTATTTGCTGGCTATTGCGACTTCATATAAAACGCATTACAATAGTCTCTTATCAACGTTCTATCACGTAACTTAATTGGCTTCTTCTCGATCAATAATCAGATTGATATGTCTGTACGATAAGACTAAACGAACGAGAATATTTTTTTATTTGATTTACAATTTATTTGAAATAATTTATCAATTATTTCATATCATTATAAATTCAATGATTTTCATTTTAAACGAGATCTTCATTTTATACAAGAGATTAATTATATTTCGACCCATCAATACGTAGATATATTGTAAACCTATGGAGTCAATATTTAACATCAAAAATAATTTTTACAATCATTTCGAACATATCGAACGATTTTGAAAAAAGGATCAAAAACCTGATACAAGTTTGAAACATTAATTGTGCGTACAATACAAAAATTGAATGGACGATCGAACAATTATTTTTGTTAGAAAAAAGAGAAAGAGAGAAAAAGAGAGAGAGAGAGAGAGAGAGAGAGAGAGAAACAGATATACTCAATTGTTCAATTGACGTAAAAGCGCAATAAATGTTTCGCATCAATAAGTTCGTGCTTACCGAGGAAAATATTCTTCAATGATCGTATTGGGAATCTTAGATGTGGCGTAAAAGAGGAAGTAAAGGAAAAAAAGGTAAGGGAAAGAAGAGGAGAAAGTAGAAAAAGAAGATCGTCACGATTCTCGCGAGATTTATTCCATAGCTGAAACCGAATATTTCTTTAGAGCGGCGTGTCGTTGCTCCGGTATTAAACATTCCAAGCATCGCGATACCTTTCCAATACAGAACACGTTATCTAGAGTTCTACGATGGAAGATCCAAGGCAACCACACGTGTGCACACACACACACACACACACACACACGCGAACACACACACGGACACTGATACATAGGCACATAGACGTTTGTACTAGGATAGTGGCGAGGAGTTCTGTATTCGTTTGAAAGGCTATGACTGTCGCAAAAATAGAAAAGAAAAGGCTAAGAGATAAAGATAGATAGAGAGAGAGAGAGAGAGAGAGAGAGAGAGAGAAGCAAGCTTTAAAAAAAGGATCTTAAAATATGCGATATCGAATCCATGGAAATCTATCGAACGATCTTCCAAACATTTTATTATCAATATAGAAAGTGTATTTACAATTATAACAAAAGAGATAAAAAAATATTGAATTTTATATGAAGACGTCATTTTTATTATTAAATTTCTTTTCCTTAATTTCTCTATGAGTTGTTATAAAAAGTTTGTATAAAGAAATAAAAGTGACATCTAGTTTCGAGCATAACTTCAATTGAGCTTAACTTAATCGTTAATCGAATACTATAACGAAATAATCAAAACTAAAAGGTTAATCGAATTAAATCTCAGAATAGTGTTCGTTAGGATTAACGACATTTGAAACGAAAGAATTGTTAAGGAGGATCGATCATTCACTTTTTCAATTCTGACAAACATTCCATTTCATTGGACAACTGCTGATGCGATTCCGTTTCTGCCAGCTGATAGAGTAAGGTCTATATTTACGCGACAGAATAAAGCTACTTGTTTACCTATGTACTCTTGCGACAGAGGTGCCAACGAAGAAGCTACGAGAGCTTGGTTTATCGTTGTCATACGAAAGTGTGTGTAACTGTGGTGTAGCAAACGTGGTGGTAGAACGTTGTAGTGGAAGCTATTCGACGAACAAGTCGAGTAAATCTACGGCTCGTTAAAGCTAGAACGGTCCTAGAGACTTAATTCGATTCGTCTGCTTCGAGATAGTACTAGAAGAGATACAGAAGAGTAAAATGAGAGAAAGAGAGGAAGGGAAGAGAGAGAGAGAGAGAGAGAGAGAGAGAGAGAGAGAGAGAGATAGAGACAGAGACAGAGAGGAGGAGAGAGAAAGAGAGAGAGAGAGAGGAACGTTCTATAGCCTCGTAACGAACGATCGAAAGCTTTGAATACTTCGAAAGTGCTCTACGGTGTTCGTTCGAAGGAACATTTTTACACGAGCGTCGATATCGGTAATTACACCGAGATCGCACGATCTTGTCTTCTAATCCTTTCGATCGATCGATGCTCATTGATTCTACTTAATAGGAGATAGAAAAGATTCTTTATATATTATTAGTCGGTAGAAAAGAATGTTTATATCTTTTTTTTCATATAATGCAATCTATAAAAAATCATTCATCGTGCTTTTCTAATTTAGATATAATTTTGTTAATTTTTATAATCATTCATTGTATAGTATAGGCACGTATGCGCATACATATATTATATTTGTAATTGATTATTGTGAAATACGACGACGTTTTCTTTAAAATAATAATGTCAAGAATTTCAAAGTCTTTGCTTCATTAACTAATAATATATAGAATTAGAGAATATGTCGCTAACATATACTCGTGTCTGATTAATTTTACTGTCTAATTCGAGAATGTCACTGCTGTTACCGAATATTACAAGATTTCGCGAGTTCTAATGTTGTTATTAAATGTTCAGTAGAAAGGAATATTAATAATTTTGAATTGTAAATGATATATATATATATATATATATATATATATATATATATATATATATATATAGATAAAGATCTTTTTTCCTTGTTCGAACGATCTTCGATAAAGTTCGTCAATGAAAATAAATTGAATTTGCCATAAATAAAGGAAATGTAAAACGTTTCTTACTTATTCACTTTGAGAACGGTCCAAACTGTGCTAATGATTCATATCGAAGCAATCGAAAGATATTGCGAGATATTTAATCTATTAAAAAATTATTGGTTGATAATGCATCTAGTGTTATTTCATCATAACAAAGATGAAATATTTCATACTTCATCTTGACTCACTTTCTTTTTTCGATTTTCTAGTAAATATCTCAGCACCAGTTTTTCCAATGTGACACTCGACGATGTTTTTTTCTTTTATTCTCGCTCTCTCTCTTTCTCTCTCTCTCTCTCTCTCTCTCTCTGTTTTTCTCTCCTCTCACTCTCTTCTCTTTCATTTACTTTTTTTTCTTTTCCCATCTATTTTACAGCTTCTACTAATCTCAGAATAAATGTCGCACTGATGTGATCGATGTGAAACACGTTCGCAAAAGGAACTCTTCATTAAAATCTAACGAAGAGGAAGAAAGATAGCAGGACGATTTTCGAGATCGAAGCAGCTTTTATCGTACCGCTGACTTTCGAAGCGTTCTTTAAATAACTACCATTTCTTTTTTTTTCGAGGAAAATAAGAAAAAAAGAAAGAAGAAAGAGGAAAAACTCGCGCGTCTAAATTCACGATTCAATTATTTTTCAATTGTCGAAAATGCCGTTTAATAATTCTTGAGCGTTGAAATTTGCATTAAGTACTACGAGAAACGGTAATTACTGGGTCTTAATTTATCCTGAAGATTTGAGTCAGATCGTTTGACATTGGATCCCTTTCTAAAGAGATAGTATGAGAGAAGAAAACCATTTCGACCGCAAAATTGTACGCGACGACTTCTTAGACGGACGAAAACGGTAGAAAATCCAGATGACGACCAGGCCAACCTGGGTGCTTTCAATTATGAAAACGTTTCTATATGCCATTGTCGCACGGCATTGTTCGACGAGTACAATCGAGAAGATAATTAAGCGATCTTTACGAACGGAGGACGCGAA